GTGGGGTGTAGTGGTTAGAGCAGAGGGCTGGGAGCCAGGACGCCTGGGTTCTACCCCCTGCTCTGGGAGGGGAGTGGGGGCTAGTGGTTAGGGCGGGGAGGGTCTCAGCGTCCAGTGCCGTCGGCCGCATCAGCCCCCTGCACGTGTGTTGAGCGAGGTGTCCGTCGGCCTCTGATCACACTAGCAATTAAGGCTCTTTGAGAGATTCGATTCCTTTTTTCCTGCTGGATCCAAGTTTGAGACGCTTGGGCCCAGAGCCTCCAAGGCGCTGCCCGGGGAGCAAGGTGCCGACGTAGCTTTGAGGATCTGGGCCTTAGGGGGTTTGGGGAGGGGGGCATGCGAAATTTGCACTGGGAGCCGGGGGCGGGGGGAGCGGGGAACAGATTCCCGGGTTCCGTCCAGGATGGGAACATCCCTTCCCAGAATGTGTCTCCTGCTGAGGTCCTGGCATGCCGGCTGCCGGGCTCCCAGGACAGACAGCCCTGGCTGCAGCCATGGGGGGACTCGGACAGACGGGCAGACAGACGGGGAGGGTTGCTGCGGCCTGCTAATGCAATCAGGGCCCTTCGCAGCCAGATGCCCCCCTGCATTCTGTAGCAGCTGCTGGCCAAGCGGAGTCCGAGCCTGGAGGCGAGAGGGCGGGAGGCTCAGCAGGGGGCGCTCTCCCCTCTGTCCTGAGCTCAGGGTGGTGCTAGGGGAGGGGGCGACTGCAGGGAGTGGGATGTGGGGGTCAGTGGGTGGCACTTTCCCTCGCAGTCTGCCCAGTGCAGCACTAGGGGGCACTGTGCTGCAGGGAGCTGGCTGGGGGGACTCAGTAGGGGGCGCTCTCCCCTGCCAGGCAGTGCTGGCCCCCAGCACCAGGCTAGGGGGCGCTGTGTGGCTGTGGCCTTTGAGATGAGCTGTAACCCCCAGGCCCCGCCTCCATGAGCATCATCAGTCCCGTGGCTTGTTCGCGAGAGGCGGGGTTTTGATACCCAGGTCCTGGATTGGTTCTAACTGGGTTCACTCTTGCTTGTATCCTACCCTGCCCCCTGCTGGTACAGGAGGACCCAGAGTTTTCTTTGTATAAACAGCCCCCTCACCCCACCCACCCCAGAGGCAGACGCATCTCAGTACCAGGCCAAGGGTCCCTGTATAAACAACCCCCGTGCCTCACCCCAGAGGTGGCTGCATCGCAGGCCCGGATGAGGGATCTGGGTATAAACAGCCACACAGGCCCCACCCCAGAGGTGGCTGCCTGTTGGTGCCAGGCGAGAGACCCCCACGTGTAGGAATTACTATTAATTATTTGTATTGTGACGGCACCTAGCAACCCTGGGGATGGGCCAGGACCCCCTTGTGCCTTGTGCTGCACAGATCAAAACGCTCCAGACTCATAGAAAAGAGGTCAGCCCCAGGACGCCGTCACCTTCTGAAGATGCTCCAGGGGACAAAATCCCCTCTGCCCCCATTCCCCCCCAGGGGCTAACTTCCCGTCCCCCGTCTTGTTTTGCAGAAAGACCTGCCGTTGCCGCGGAAAAGCAGCAGGTGAGCCCCTTCCGCTGCGGTGTCTGTGTGTCCTGGGATTGGGGTGGTCACCCCCCCCCCGAGAGCTCCCCACAACTCATGGCCTGCGACGGTCAGTGTCCCGCTACAGACTGCACATGGGACCAATCCGGGCGATTCCCACGCTGGCTGGCTGGGGGCAGAGGGGAGCTACGACCCAGGCCCATGGTGACACGGCCGTGGGGCGGGGGTTAATCTGCCCCTCCTAGGTCACCTTGGTGCTTTGCCCGGATCTGGCCTGGCACATCCCAGGGGCCGTGCTGGCTTCCAAACCCCTCAGGCTTCTGCTGGTCTTTCCTCCCCTCCTGTGTTTTGGGGGCGGGAGGGCGGGGGGTTGGTTTGGGGGTGGGGTGGGTGAGGTCTGCACCAAGCTCTGCACACAACCAGCCACGGAGACCCCCACAGACACCCACGTGTGCAATCGTCCACACGTGCTGTGTGCACAACCACACCCTACACACCAAGCTACACGGAGCACCTCACACACAACCACACCATGCATATACCCAGACAAACAGTCCATGCAAAACCACCCCCCACGTACAAACTCAGTCACAGACACAACCCCATGTACCTACCCACCCCACCCCACATATAGCCCCCTATAGATACACACATCCCGTATATACAGCCGTGCACCCAGCCCCATATATATACACACATCCCATATATACAACCATGCACCCAGCCACATATATACACAAATATACATTCATACAAAATATGGACAATCGCACAACACACACGTACACTACAGATAAACGCTCTCTATGTTTTGGGGGAGAGGGGCCTATACACACACACACCGCAGTAACACCCACCACAGAACACGTACTGTGTAACACACACACATCATAAACACAGGCACGGCCACCATGTACCCCACCCAAACAGCAACACACACAGATATACTCTAGTAACAGCCACCCATGATCCAGGTACCACACACACAAATACACACCCACACCGAGACTTGTCCTCTCAGTGATCACGCCAGCCACAGATGGCAAAGGCCCCACTGCACCCAGAAGCCCCCTGTCTCCCTACACCCACCGCAGGGGCAGCCGGGGCTGTGTCTGTTTGTGTGTGTGGTACCTGTGACGTGTGTGTGTCACAGCCCGGAGAGTGCATGTGTGTGTGTGTGTTACTAGGGTGTATCTCTGTGTGTGTGTGTTTGGGGGGATTGCATGGGGTGCATGTGTGTGGTATGGGGTGTGTATTGCTGGAGTGTGTGTTACTAGAGAGCTTGTGTGTGTTATATGGTGTGTGTGTGTGTCTATCTCCGATCTCCCCCCCCCCACATCCCTCAATGGTCCCTTTGCCTGAAACAGCATTTCCAGCTGCATCATCCCAGCGGCCCCGAGACCAGAGTTCCCACCCCCCGCTAGACACACACCCAGTAACCCAGCCCCCCGCCCCGCCAGACACACCCCCAGCCCGCCCCCCCCGCCAGACACCCCCAGCCCG